ATTCTATTCTATTCTATTCTATTCTATTCTATTCTATTCTATTCTATATTCTATTCTATTCTTCTCTAAAGCTGCAAGAACACCTTTAGTTGAACACTAACCCTTTTAGAAGCATGTGATAATTATATAGCTATAGGCATCCTGCACTTTAAACACAACAACCTGAAAAATGGTTTTAAAACTTAACTACAGGTCGTTCTCGACTTACAACAGCTCATTCAGTGACTGTTTACAACGGCACTGAAAAAAGAGACTTATGACCATTTTTTCACAGTCAAGACCTTTGCAGCATTCCAATTATCATGTGATCAAAATTCAGAGGCTTGGCAATTGATTCATATTTATGACTCTTGCTGTGTCCCAGATAACCTTTTGTGACCTTCTGGCAACTAAAGTCAACGGGGAAGCCAGATTCACTTAACAATTGTATTACTCACTTAACAACTGCGGTGATTCACTTAACAAATGAGGCAAAAAAGGTCATAAAATGGGGGCAAAACTCACTTAACAAATGTCTCCCTTAACAACAGAAATTTTGGGTTGAATTGTGGTTGTATGTTGAGGATTACCTGTGTGCAATAAAATATCTTCATTTTAGGGAGTTTCCAAAAGGAAGTACAAGAAGCCATATCCAAAACAGCAGATTTCACCTTAAATCTTACTATTATTACGGTTGGCAGCACAGTGACAACAACTGAGATTTGGTTGGTGTTGTGGTTAGCCGGCAGCAGGTGCAGACGGCTGAGGAGAGCGATGACTCTGATGAGGGGCCAGGACCATTAGGGAGTGGACTGCTGCCTTCAGAGATTGTGGGGGCTGGCAGCAGCGATGAGGAGGTTCCCGAGGAGCCTGTGCTAAGTGTGTGTGCATGCAGGATTGCTCGCAGAAAACAGCAGCTGCAACTGCACGGGCGACTCAGGAGTAAGGCTGCAAGGTAATGGCCCCTCCTTCAAGAAGATAAAAGCCAGCTGTGAAACGAACGTACTTTGCAGAAGGCAAAGACGTTTTGAAACTCCAGCCTCGTGGACATTCCAGTATCCTGAGTTTGTCTTTGAACATTTTTGTATTGCAAATTATTTCTTGTCTGTTATCTTTTGGCAAGCCTCGGACAGTTTGGCAAGGCTTGTGCTTATCACAGCTAATTATTTTGTAAAAGCATTACAAGGTTTCTGTTCCTTTTGGATTGTGTTTGATTTATTGGAAAAGGGCATAGGTCAGAAAAGTTGAAGACTTAATATGGAATCATGCTCAATTTTAGAAATCAGGGATCATATATTCTATTGCAGTAAATGCAAAAATCAAACCCATGCATAAAAGACTATTAACAACTTGAAATCATGCACCAAGTAATAGCTGAATTGCTGTAAAATGAATCACTTGTAAGGATCTGAGGACATAATTAGGCTATTAAGAAAACAAGCAGCAGCAAACAGAAGTTTCGCAAGGGATTGATGAATATCTTAAAATAAATATTTCACTTTCTCTGTCAATCCGTTACAATATTTGTTGCTATGAAAAATCGCTTTTAGGGACTTATTAATTATTATGGGCAAAGTCAACAGAAAGAAAAACGTGCAAAATAAAGCAGAAAATCATTAGAATTTTATAAAAAAATAACAAGTGTAAATTATCAAAAAAGCCACAAGGGAAGTAAAAGTTATAGAACTTTTGGAAAATGGAACAGCTTAAAATTGTGAAAATATGCAGAACACAGTCTCTAAGTCATGGGGAATATAGTGCTAAGGATTGTGAGTGTTTTTTAAAAAGGGATTAGGTATTAAGAGTGTAACTTTTAAAAATCTGCTGTTCTTAAATTGAAGGAAATTTAATTTCCTTTTTCTAGATCTTCCAATACTACTTGTTCATTTATTTGTTACAAAAGCTGAGGAACTCTCGGGAACTTCCGGTTTGTCGGCTTCGCGAGCGGCAGGGATTTGCGAAGCTGCGCGATCCCTGCCGCGCTAGCCGCTTTTGGGGCTCCGACCCAGACGGGTACGGAGCTAGGCTGCCCTGCAGGGGCAGCTGAAGGTAGGGGGGATCCGGAGAGGGGTTTGGGGGTGTTGCAGACCCCCTCCCCGGCCGGTAGAACCCCCTTTTCCCAGGACGGTGCAGCGGCGGTCCGTAATGGCCGCCACAAAGAAGCTGGCAGCCGGGTAAGAATGCGCAGGAGGAAGTGGAGAAAGTGCTTGAGAGGAGAAAGTTTTTCTTGGCTCCTAGGACTCTAAGACATATTTAATAAAATTCCTGAAAAGTATGACTTTCTGAATAATACCTGCCAGAAGAGGAAAAAAGCGGCAGTTTGATGGTGCTGAAAGGATAGCTTTCCCTCTTTTCCTACGGAATAAATAACTGGATATTAAGAAACCTATTTTTTTTAGGTGAAAATTGGTTTTAAGCGATGAGTGGGAAGAGAGAGGATTAAAAAGAAAATATTTGTATGCTAAGACTTTGTTGGAGGAGATGCCTTAAGGATTTGAAGACTAGAATATATTGCAATAAGATTTTAAACAGATTTGGACTTTCTTTCTCTTTGATTGATATTATCCCAGAAGGAGAAAGTGAGAACTCTGCCTTGGTTTGGACTGACTGATAACTTTGGGACTGCTTTATTTTTTTTATTTTCTTTTGAATATTCTGGTTGTTGTAAGAAGAAAGAAGGGGAAAAGAAAAGAAAAGATTTATAATGGCTTTTTCTGTTGAGGAACTAAGAAAAGAATATGAACAAGCAAAAAAAAAATGGTAAAGATGGTGTGGAAGAAGCTTTCCTTTTTTTAGAAATGGCGCTTACTAACTATCAACAAACATTACAACAGATGAAGACAGCAGAGGAACAAGAAAGAAAGGAAGGAGCCACTTTTAATGAATCTCAGAATTTGATCAAGAAAGAAGGAAGAGAGAAAAGAAGAGAACTAAAGGACTTAAGATCTAAAAAAACATTTAAGAAAGGGAAAAATAAGGTGCAAAATCAATATGATGATAGTAAACAAAAGGGAAAAGGAATACGACAGAGAAGGGAAGCCAGTAAGGCAGAGGCTAGAAGAAGGGGGGGTAGAAAGGTTTGTTGGGAGAAGAAAGAAAGGGAAAAGGTGGAGAAAAGCTACAATGTTTTGAAATTAAATGAAAAAAAGGAATTTTTTATGGATAATGGATAAAGTATAATTTTTTTTAAAAAGATTTTGCAAGGTACATAAGATGAGATGGTAGTATTGTAATGGTTTAAGAGTTGATAAGAGATTAAAATGCTAAAATGTTTAATAATGATTGGCTTTAAAATTTAATAATAGGGGAGGTTTAGAATACTGTTTTAATTAAAGAGTTTAATAAGATTATGGTATTGATGTTATTATAAAATTTTTATTATAGTATTTGTTTTTAATATTTGGATTTATTGTCTAATTATGTATTTAATTATTTTGGATGTACTAGTTAGATAGAATGTACCAAGCAAAATCGGATTGGGTATTGGATGTTATCTTAAAGGTTAATTTGATTAACTTAGGGGGGAGATAGAAAGGCATCATACTCTGATTAATGATTTCAGGAGAAACTTATTTTCTTCTTTTTTATAAGGAATGAGACAAAGGGACGATAAAAAATGGACAAAAGATACAAATATAATGATTCAAACTAAGATGATTAATTAAGATAGAATTAAGAAGAGTGAAATATGTGGAGAAGTTAATATAGAAGGCTTAGAATGGTAAATAAAATAAGTAATGATATGTAAGATGAGCATGAATATAATTGAAGTCCATGAGAGAGAGATACCTGGGTCCAAGTTACTTTCCAAAAAGATATTTTTTATGTTTTGTGTGTTGTGTGTATATGTTTTTTTTGGGGGGAGAATTAGTAAAAACTTGCAGAAATATAGAATGAGAATAATGGTAACTAAGTCAGAAAGAAATAGATGAAATAATAATAATGATATTGAATAAGAGTAAAGAGAAGTAAAGAGAAATTGAATAAGAGGTTTTTGTATGTTATATGGAAATGGTTTAAAACAGAATCATAATTTATCTGACTTGTTAAATTTACAATGAAAAAAGGTTTAAACATGTAATGAATAATGATAATTTGTGTGTTTTAAAAATTAATAAAACTTGTTTTTTTAAAAAAAAAAAAGCTGAGGAACTCTCAAAGGTTATGTTGAAAGAAAATAACTAGATTGATCATAAAATTATAACATTGTTATATAACACAAATATAGTGGGGTTCCTAATTTGAACTACTATTTAAAAGGATTTCAGTTGAGACAATTTGGGTCCTATTGCAAGTCAACCCATTCTCACAGTAGGAACTCACATAATTTCCATTGGGTAAACAGAGCTCATCAAAAATTTATTTGCTTTTTAATAGCAGTTCTATGTAATGTAAACAGAGTGGGTTAATCCCTTTTAGAAGACAAACTTCATGAATATGTTAGTTATTCCTATATCTTGTTCATTTTCTACATTCTTAAAACATTTTAGTCAAGGCACAGAATATTTTGGATATCTTGGTATTCTTTGGCCCACCCCCCAAAGATACTGAAATAAGTTTGACAATCCAAATTACCAAATTGAACTGCTGCTGTAATTTTTCGTTGGCGTAGTTGATGCAGAATTGTTCAAAGCTATTATATTCAAAGGTTTCAAACCTGCAAAACAAAAGAATATTCTTAAAGAAAGGCTATAGTTTCTGGGGGGGGGGGGAATCATTAATATTTATGGATTAATTGTACTATTTTTATAAACCACCTTGGGAATCTGATTTATTAAAATGAGGTCAATAAATAAAAATTATTTCCAGTTTAGAAATATCAGCGAGAGCTTAACCTAGTTTTCCCAATGCAGAATCCTACAGATGCATGGATAGCTATCACAGGATGAAAATATGGAACTGTAAATTCCAATATACTTGGAGAACATTATATTGGGGAAGAAATGTTTTTAGGCTAACAGCTCCATCAGTTCCATCACTCACTATCTCCTAGAGCAGGGGTCCCCAACCCCCCCCATCCCCCACGGTGCAGCCCAGTACAGGGCTGTGGCCCATTCAAAACTGGGCCAGGAAGCAGTAGGTGAGTGTGTGCGTGCATGCAGCTCCATTTGTTTGAGCGTCGTGCATGCCTGCCGCTCATGCAAATGGAACTGCGCGCATGCTCACCCATCACTCATGTGGGACCATCTCTCTTTCTCCCCCCCCATCCCGCCGGCACTGGTCCACCAAGCCAGAAAGGTAGGGACCACTGTGCTAGAGACCTATCCTATTTCCAAATTTCAATAGCTAGAACACCGACCTCGTCCCTGGGCCATAGGAACCATATTTTTACATTCCTCACAATGACACAAGAACATTAACAAGGGATTAGGGGAAATTGTTAAGTGCTTCTCAACCTTCTAACATTTTTACCATATGAAGTCCAATCCTATAATGAAATATTTGCAACAGATTCTTGTGGGGGGGGAGGGGGGAGAGTCAGGGGGAGGGAGAAGGCGGGGGGGGGGGGGGGGGGAGAGAGAAAGGGAGAGACAGAGAGGGAAGGAGGGAGAGGGAGAGACAGAGAGGCAGAGAGAGGGAGGGAGTGAGGGAGAGGGAGAAGGGGAAGGAGAGACAGAGAGGGAGGGAGAGACAGAGAGGGAGAAACAGAGAGAAGGAGAGGGAGGGAGGGAGGGAGAGATAGAGAGGGAGGGAGGGAGAGAAATGGAGAGACAGAGGGAGGGGGAGGGAAAGGGAGAGATAGATGGAGGGAGAAGGAGAGGGAGAGAGACAGAGAGACAAAGCATTTGAAGGCATCTGTACAACAGCATTAAAATATCTTATGAGACAAGTTTGAATAGTTTATTATTTTTGGTCTGACAAAATCCTGAGTAAGATCTACAGAGAAATAATACCTCTGGATACAAAACAAACGTTGAAGAATGAAAAGGGGGGGAAATGAGATTCTTTCTATTCAACTAAGAAAAATTACCAGACGACGAAAGTACCAGACTGCTTTCATTAGGCCCTATAGATAAAAGGTTTAAAATAGCTTTGCACTGTCATTTTAAGAAGGTTCACATGTAACTCCAAATTCTTATTTAATATACACACATTCGCTTAAAACTTCCTCCATCTTTTTCAATTTTATCAAAATAAGTACTCCTCCGTTGTCAAGTGTAACAGCTTAATGGAAACCATTCAAGGAAAATGAAAGTTTTAAGATAATAACATTACATTTTATGGTTTTTAAGCATGTTGCTATAAAGGAAATCCAATCTCCTGTTTTGGAATCAATTAGCACAATGTCTTTCTCGAGATAAGAGTTTAATACCCTCGCCTTGCATTCTTTTCAACTATGGCTTTGATTTGGGCTTTGCTTTAATGGATCTGATTCCTATCTACTGTCAAATAAAGTAGGCATTCAATTGCTTCCCGCTACTGTATGAAATCTAATACCAAAACATCCAGAGATCCTGATTAACACTTCCCAAAGTCACTCATCTGAATCACGCTGTGCCCCTAAAGCCAGACCTCAGCAAACAAAACACAAACCATCTTCCTATTGAATGGCACCAACAAATGTTTGGATGTCATGATGTTAGAGAAGGGACAGAGGGAATTCTCTACAAGGATGCATCCTGGAATAGCATTCTCTGTGCCCAGGAACAGGAATCCAATTGTGTCTGACTTTAGGGCTGTGATGGCGAACCTGTGGCACGCAGACATGCAAGCTACAGGCAAAGTTACCTCACCATGCATGTGTGCGCCTCCCAGCTGATTTTCAGCCTGTGTGAGGTTTTTTTCAGCCTCCCAGAGGCTTGAGGAAGGCATTTGGCACCCTTTGTAGGCCGAAAAATAGGCCCGTTTCGTTACTTCCTGTATTTTCAGAAATACCGGAAGTGACAAAACGGGCCTATTTTTTCGGCCTGCAAAGGCTGCCAAATGCCTTCCTCAAGCCTCTGGGAGTCTGAAAAAGGCCTCAAATGGGCCGAAAATCAGCTGGGAGGTGCAATGCAGGTAAGCGGGCAGCATGGGGAGATTGCGCGCACATGCACAGGGGGCGTGGGGGGCTGTGCATTGCTTTCTGGGCAATTTTGGCACAGGAGCCCAAAAAGGTTAGCCACCACTGCTTTAGGGGATGAGAATGCATCAAAAATACTTCGCTTTAACATCCTTACTATGAATAAGATAGTTATTTCCAAAATTATATAGCCTAACTTCTCCTTTCAATAAATCGCATTAAGATCAACCTGGAGGCACTTAACTTTCTTGGCTATGGATGGCAGTAAGGGCCTTGATGCATCGATTGCTTTTATCATAGTTGTCCCAAAGGTGCTTTTTCAAGAGGCAACGGGACTTTCTGGTTTTTCTCTGAAAATATTTCACCAGGGGTGGGATTCAAAATTTTTAACAACCAGTTCTATGGGCGTGGCTTAGGTGGGGGGTGTGTGGCTTGGTGGTCATGTGACTGGGTGGACATGGCTTGGTGGTCATGTTATTAGCTGGGTGTGGCCAACTCAATATCACTCACATCGAGGCACGCATCTCCTCGCCTGGCCTCTCATGACTGTGGGGATGCTTCAACAGTCTTAAGTGTGAAAAATGGTCATAAGTCACTTTTTTCAGTGCCATTGTAACTTTAAATGGTCACTCCACACAAGCAAAGTACCAGCAAAGGAGGGGAAAAAAACTCCAGAGAAGTTCCTGAGACAGGAAGTTTAGTCCTGCCAAGAATGTAATAAGGGTTAACGGAGAGGCAGTTTCTGTAAGCAACACCAGAATGTTTCCTTCCTGCTTTCCTTACAGGATTAGCCCAGTAATTTCTTCTAACAACCGGTTCTCCAAACTGCTTAGAATGTTAACAACCGGTTCTAGAGAATAGGTGTGAACTGGTAGAATCCCACCCCTGCATTTCACTTCTTATCCAAGAAGCTTCTTCAGCTGTGAGAATGGATTCAGTTCCGAGAAGAGCTGAAGAAGCTTCTTGGATGAGAAGTGAAACATCTTCAAGGAAAAACAAAGAAAGTCCAGTTGCCTCTTGAAAAAGCAACTTTGGGACAACCATGACCTGGATAACTAAGAATGTCCGTAGACTTTTATCATAGTCCTCCTCAAGAACCTTCCTGCTTCATCTATCAAGCAAGAAATGAAAACCATTTAGGCAAGCTCATAACAACCGTAAGAACTCCTCATAAATAATCTTTATTTATGCGCCGCGGTGGCGCAGTGGTTAGAGTGCAGTACTGCAGGCTACTTCTGCTGGCTGCCGGCTGCCTGCAATTTGACAGTTCGAGTCACACCAGGCTTCCATCCTTCCGAGGTGGGTAAAATGAGGACCCAGATTATTGGGGGCAATAGACTGACTCTGTAAACAGCTTAGAGAGGGCTGTAAAACACTGTGAAGCAGTATATAAGTCTAAGTGCTATTGCTATTATTAAAGCCATAGTTTTGTAAGAAGGAATCTCCAATTATTATAGTAACATGTGGTGTTTCCAAGATCAAAATCTATATTTAAAACAACAGACAAATGCTTTTGTGCCTCATTCTTGTTTCCAACTTATGTAAGAGACTATCCATCCTCTTCTTCTAACGTGGGGCGATTTTCATCCATCTTTTTGCAATAGTCACATCTGCTCCAACCGCATTGATTTGTCACGGACGGCAAAAATTAGTGCACTCACATACTTCTGTCACTGGAGACAGGACATGACCCTTTTCCCTGCACACAAGAGAGGGGCAGAGCAAGCCCTATGATCACAGCACAACTTATTACACACAGAGAGACACTTAAAATATCTCAGAAGTCTGTCTGCTCCAGCTGTGATTTACAGAATTTGAAAACAAAAAAAAGAAAGCGACACACCCACAAACTGATTTTGATGCCAGCATGCGAGACAATCCTCCCTTACAACTTGCTCTACAATTTACAAGTGTTGCTCTTGTGGCTCTGGCAAATAAGAGGAAAGAGCCACACCGCAAAACTTACTTAACTCTATACTGCCTAGAGAAGATGCAGGAAATACCCTGGGAATGCCAGCGCTGATCGTAGCAAATGCAGCCAAACGGGGGGGGGGAGGAACAGGATCCCCCAAAGCTTGTTGCTCACCCATAAATGTCCAGCACACCGATGAAGGAATGCTGCTTGACCGTCGTGTACAAGGCCTTGTTGATATGCTGCACAATCCAGTTGAACAGCTGAGCGTAGATGTGCTTGGCCAGCGCATTCCTGGCGTTGACGGCTTGTTGGAGGGACATATTCTTGGTGTAGGTTTCCGAAGTGGTGACCAGCTTCCGATGGCAAAGCCAGTGTTCCAACTGGCTATGCTCCACTCCCAGTAATCTGCAAAAATGATGCAGGTGTTCATCTTGGTTCTAGGACACAAAGAAAAACATCTGATTCAGGAAAGCACGCAGCAGAGGTTCATGTCGCCGGAGGGCAAAAAAACACACACAAAAAAAACATCCATGCAACCTTCTAATTCACCAATGGCTAGATTTGAGGATAACCCGTATGCAGAAGATGAGCTCAGCAACCTAAAGCAGGGAGGGCGACCCATCAAGGAACACATCTGTGAATTCAGGAGAATCAGTGGGAAGCTACCCCTTTTTCCTGAATGGATGCTGGTTCATTTTTTCAGAACCAGACTGGACCAGCAAATTAGCAAAGTAACTGCCTATCGGGACATCCGGAACTGACTGAGTGGTTCCGAGTAGCCAAAAAAAGTCGACGGGGCATTACACGCTAGTGACATGAGGAAGCCACCGGGAACCAGAGACAGAGGGCAACCAGACCCGAGACCACCAAACCAACGGGACAGCACACCGTCACGATCTGCCCCAAACCTTTGGTGAAAACCCTTGGTGATCTACTTGAGGCTGCCTTCTTGGGCTGTTGTTTCCAGCTTCCAAGAAACAGCCCTGGTGGCGCAGTGGTTAGAATGTAGTATTGCAGGCTAGTTCTGCTGACTGACTGCAGTTCGATTCTCACCAGGCTCAAGGTTGACTCAACCTTCCATCCTTCCGAGGTAGGTAAAATGAAAACCCAGATTGTTGGGGGCAAGAGACTGACTCTGTAAACGCTTACAGAGGGCTATAAAGCATTGTGAAAGTGGCATATAAGTCTAAATGTTGTTGCTATTCCAATAAAGAAGAATGTTTGTAGTAGAAAGTTGAAATGAGGGAAATCTTGGTGCTCTCTGAGCTTGGTTGTTTTTCTTGCAGAGGTTTCATTACCCAACTACTCAATGGCACTGATGACATTACCTAGTCTGGGTATGAAACGTCTCCCAGAAAACAACCGAGCTCAGAGAACACCAAGGACTTCTCGTTTCCAGCTTTGTTAGTTTGGAGCGACAAGGGTTAAAAACTGCACAATTGGAGAATCCCGTTTTCTAATTTGAAGTCCTGACAATCCTCATTTATTGCCCTCAAATTGTGTCAGAATTACTACTGTAAGAAGTCTTCACTAGCACGTAATTGTTATGCTGGCAATTCTCAACCAAAGGAAAGGAGCCCCCAGGAGACTGTATTATGTAAGGCAGTGATCCCCAACCTTTCTTATGCCGCGACCCGGTATCCCCAACCTTTTTTATGGCGCGGCCCGGTACCGGCATTAGCTGGGCGCCGCCATCTTTTTTTGATGAAAAAGTGCTTCCGGTGAGCTTTCTACCCGGAAAAGCTCACCGGAAGCACTTTTTCATCAAAAAAAGATGGCGGCACCCAGCAAACCAGCGGCCCAGTAGGACTTGTCCCACGGACCGGTGGTTGGGGACCGTGGACCGGTGGTTGGGGACCCCTGATGTAAGGAACGTAGACAGTGGTGGTATTCTACTGGTTCGGCCCGGTTCTGCAGAGCCGGTAGTAGTGATGAGCAGCGGAGAAAAAAAACCCAATTCTCTCTGATGCTTTGTTGGGCCCACCCACCCGTCCGGGCTCCCATATTAACCTTTATGTCCTGCTTTTGAAGCGCAGCTGCTTTGAGCAGCTCAGCAATTGCCGCGTGGCAGCTGCTGAAGCAACAGGGAGAGAGTGCAGGATTGCAGGAGGTGAGTCAAAATGCCACTGCACCTGTGCAAAGTGCACGTTAGGCGCAGGCAAAGCGCGACCCCCCCAGGCCACGCCCACCGAACCAGTGGTAAAAATATTTGAAACACACCACTGAACATAGACTGTAGAAAACTTTTCCTCTGCACCTCATATTTTGCTGCGTTTTGCTGATTAAATAAGTTAGCAGGCAGATCAACTGTTCAGAATTATGGATGCATTTCAATTAAACAGCAACAATATCCTTAAGGACAGCAATACTTGAAAAGAAGATTTGCTTATGGGCCCAGTGTATTCAAAGCCTAAGAATTAAAAATAGGGCACCGCATTATTTCTTAAGGAAGTGCAGCTACCGTGCAAACAATGTTTTCATATTTGAATTAGAAAAAAACAAACCACTTTAATATTTGAATGAGAAAAAAACAAAAGGCTTCAGCTGACAGTCATGGAAACACATATGGGCAGCGCTCAACTTATAACCATTTGGTTAGTGAACTTTTTCAAAGTTACAATGACACTGAAAAAGTGACTTTGACCGTTTTTCACATTTATGACCATTGCAGCATCTTCATACAACTTAGATGCTTGGCCGTTGACTCATATTTATGACGGTTGCAGTGTCCTGGGGTCAAGTGATCCCCTTTTGCGACCTTCTGACAAGCAAAGTCAACGGGAAAGCCAAATTCACTGAACAACCGGGTCACTAGCTTAACAACTGCAGTGGTTTACTTAACGACCGTGGCAAGAAAGGTGTCAGCTTTGGAAGTCATATTGAGATCAGATGGTTCCACGCTGCCACATCTGAGCCTGGGAGGAATTTATTGGAGTATATCTAGTTAGGCATAATAACATTCTTTTTCTGATTCAAGGTCAGGTTGTGTTGTGCCTAAATGAGAGGAAGTCTTGGGACGGATGGTGATTGGGCCATGTAATGTGATGATGGGTGCAGAAGATGGGTTTTGTAGTTTTTACTTATTGTAAAGAAGCCCAGAACTTTCAGATTCGGGATTCCACAGTTGTGCCAATTACTATCCAAAATAAAAGGAACTTTTGAGAAGATGTCTGTCTTGGAGTTATTGGGCAGATTGAAGGGCTGCTGGAACGCTGACAAGAGGTCCTAAAATAGGGCAAGACCCATTTAATGACTGTCTTGTTCAGCAATGGAAATTTGGGGGTAACTTGAGGACTAACCGTAATAGATTAATCAGCAATTGTATCACATTTTATCTGGTTAGAATAGCGGTGGGTTGAGTGGAAGGATGAGCATTTTGCTCTGCAGGATTTATTAAGGCTTATAAAACTCTGGCCATTGATTCCTTCCTTCCATGCTCTGCCTGCATAATGAGAAGCAAAGACGTATTCCCAAACCCTAAAGGTCTCAAGGGAACTTCCTTGACATGGGATATAATTATGTCAAGACTTTGCATAACGTTAGATGTGCAGTGTCACAAAAATTGCACCGCCCTCTTGAAAGAAGCCCTTGCAATTTAGGAGTCTCTGGTTGTCTTACACAATCAAAGCCCTGGTTCTTTTTGATGTGCATTCATCAAAAGATTAATGAAGGGGAAAAAAAAGCAGATCTAAAGATGGTTCTTCTTTGAAGTACAGGGGACCTGGAGTGCCCGCTAAAAAAATAACGTACCGTTATACTGCAGGATTCTCCATCGCGTTCAGAACGAAAATCCACATTCCCAAGGTGCAGGACGGCAGCGAGTATTTTAAAAATGGTCATCTGATAGGACTCCTTTACTCCTGAAAAATATGATTGATATCCAATTTTCAAGTGCCTGCGCAGCAATTTGCCGGCAGTCCCAACGAGTATGGCATACGACAAGGATGCTGGAAGATGGATTTTCAGCAAAACCTGGACCATCATCAATTGCCCATCCCTGGACCACAAACACCACAATTTGGGCATGTGTGTGTGTGTGAGAGAGAGAGAGAAACTGTCTTCTCTTTAAATCTTAGTGGACAACCAGCTAAATATGAGCCAGCAGTGTGTAGCAGCAGCCCAAAAAGCTAATGCAATCCTAAATTGCATTAACAGAGATTATAATCAAGATCAAGCGAGGTACTAATACCACTCTATAAAGGTTTAGTAAGGCCACACCTAGAGTACTGCATCCAGTTTTGGTCACCACACTATAAAAGATGTTGAGACTCTAGAAAAAGTGCAGAGAAGAGCAACCAGGATGATTAGGGGACTGGAGACTAAAACATATGAAGAACGGTTACAAGAACTGGGCTTGGCTAGTCTAGTGAAGAGAAGGACCAGGGGAGACAGGAGAGCAGTCTTCCAATATTTGAGGGGCTGCCACAGAGAGGAGGAAGGGGTCAAGCTATTTTCTAAAGCACCTGAAGGCCAGACAAGGAATAATGGATGGAAACTGGTCAAGGAGAGATTCAACCTAGAAATAAGGAGAAACTTTCTGACAGTGAGAACAATCAACCAGTGGAACAGAAGTCGCCCTCGGAAGTTGTGGGAGCGCCATCACTTGAGACCTTAAAGAAGATATTGGAATGTCATTTGTCAGAAATGGTGTAGGTCTCCCTGGACGGGGCGTTGGACTAGATGACCTATAAGGTCCCTTCCAACTCTGATTATCTGTTAATCTGTTAAATCGGCGATGGTTTATCTATACATTTTGGGTGACATACCAGCATTCACCCACAACTACAGATAGTCCTTGACTTACAACCATTCATTTAGTAACTGTTCCAACTGCATTGAAAAAGGGACTGATGACTGGTTTTCACACTTACAACTCTTGTAGCATCCTCATGGTCACATGATCAAAATATGGGTGGTCCTAAATACAGTTGCGTTGCCTTGGGTCATGTGATCACCATTTGCAATCTTCCCAGCTGACTTCCAACAAGCCAAGTCAATGGGGGAAGCCAGATTGGTTTAACGCCCATCTGATTAACTTAACACTTAATTTGCTTAACTATGGCAAAAAAATAAAAAAGATCCTAGGTCCAACTCACTTAACAACTGTCTTGTTTAGCCACAGAAATGGTGGTTGGAAGTTGAAGACTGACTATATTCCTGAAAGCGTGCCCTTTCCTTGCACGGTTTTTTGGATGCTGCAGAGGTTGTGCAAGAATTGGGTGTGCTCTTCCACAGGCTCTGGAAGTCACACAAGAGGGCTGGGCACTTGTGCAGCTTCCACAGCCTCCAAAAATGAATTTTTTACTTGTGTTTCATTTTTGGTAATTATAGATATGATAATGATAGCACCACACATGATTGGGCTGTGGTTTTTTTTTTTTTAAAGATAAATGAAAATGCAAAAAAAAAATGTTTCTCTTTTGCTTGGGGTATGTATGTGAGATACACACCTGCAGAGTCAAGATAGGCATTTTGATATTTGATATGCCAAGCTCAAAAAAAAATTCACCATTACTGCTTGAAGTTCTTTTATTCCTGTTTTAGCTCCTGTATGGTGATTGGCAGCACAAGAAACTGCAATGTGACTAAGCAACAAATAGAAATTACACTAGTAAAGGGCCAAGAAAATATCTTCACAAAGCATACAACCACAGGCATGTGCATACCCACTCACTCACATACGTTTTTAAGCACCACACAAACAGTACTAAGTAAATCTATCCTGCAGGCAGCATTGCATTACTTAAAATTACTTTCTAACCTCATGCCTGCTCCTTAGCGATTCTTCCAACATTTATATTGAAAATAAAATGAAATATGTGCAATTTACCAAATAAACCAATTATTTAATTAAAATGGTAACCTATAAAAGTATTGCAAAAACCACTGGACAGTATACACAAATGTCTCCAAGGTTTACACCAAGGCTTTACCAAGTTGCCAACTTTAAGATGCATGCTGGCTGGGGAATTCTGGGAGTTGAAGTCCACACGGTAGCTAAATTTGAAACACTTGACACCAAGGGTCTTCAAACTTGGCAAGTTTAAGACTTGTGGACTTCAACTCCCATAATTCCTGAGCTAACATGACTGGAGGAGGAATTCTGGGAGTTGAAGTCTACAAGTCTGAAAGCTGTCAAGTTTGAAGACCTCTGCTTTACACTGATGCTCTTTTCCTTGATGCTCTTTGAGCTTGGTTAACTGATGGTGTTACCCAGTATGCTAATGAGATGTCTGCAAGAAAACTACCAAGCTCAAACAACACCAAGGATCCCACAGTTCAACCCTGAGCTACAAATATTCTCTTCTATTGAAACTTTGCAATATTGTGAAAAATTCCTGAAGAGTTACTCTATATCTTTGTACGCAGGGGTCTTCAAACTTGACAGCTTGAAGACTTGTGGACTTCAATTCCCAGAATTCCACCTCCAGTCATGTTAGCTCAGGAATTCTGGGAGTTGAAGTCCACAAGTCTTAAACTTGCCAAGTTTGAAGACCCTTATACAGGATAGCTGAATCAGCCACACGTTCTCCTAGGAAGCAGCCCAGTTTGGGATGAAGCCCTTACCAAGCAGGGTGAAAGCTTGCTTTGTTTTCTCAAAATCTTCTGCATCATCAACTCCTTCAAGGGAGGTGTCTCCTCCCAAAGATGTGTAGAAAAAATCTTTGGCATCCACTAGAATAGAAACAACAGCAAAACTAAGTTAAGGGGGAGAAATGCTTTCACTTAGTTCATATTTCATGAAAGGACTTGCCTGAACCCTGAACCCACAAGGAAACAATCTATGCACACAATAAGCACAGAAAAATGAGGCACCACACAAGTTCAAACATCAGCTCCTCCCAAGGCTTTAGCTGGTCCATTTCTGGTCTTCCATCCCCTCATTTGAAGCAGCTTTTTATACTTCCATTGGCTCTTCAGTAAACCAAGAGGCTAAAGGAAATCATTTCAAGACTGTTCTTTGGAAAGATAGATACTGAAGTTGAAGCTCAAATATTTTGGCCAATGAGAGGACTTATTGGGAAAAGACCCTAATATTAGGAAAGATGGAAGGCAAAAGGAGAAGGAGACAGCCAAGGATGAGATGGTTATATAGTGTCATCAACGCAATGAATGTGCATTTGGGCAAACTCTGGGAGATGATGAGGCCCAGTGTCAGGATTCCGAGGATTGCCCTAATTAAATCATGAGTCTTGAACCAAGTTTCAAAGGAAACCAGAAGATTTATTAGGAGTAACATGTCCAGGGTTAACCTGTATGAAGCCAACTCTGTGACACATAATTTACTATCACCTATGACCCTGTTTACCCCCACCCCCCTGGGTGTGTCATATATCAGGTTCTCCAACAAAACACATTCAAGGGCTGGGTGTCATCAATCACGCACTCCAATGAAAGATTTTTGAGGGCAGAAGATCCAGTAGCCTAGGCTACAATCTCCACAAGATAAGCATGGAATGTGCTTCCTGGCCTTCATCTGCCACACTGCTCCCTCAGGCCTTTCCCCCCTCCTTCTTATGGCAACTCGGGAACAAGCATAGGAATGATTTACGAGTTGACACCCAGCATACTGTGGCCCATGAGGTCCCAAAGAGTCAGACAGTACGACGACAAAACCAAGGGTTCTCTCTGATTGTACCTTAGCAGTGATCTCATCCAAAACTTTAGATATTTCTGAATTTCCGAGATCAACCAGATATATGAGATGGAACTGCCAAGCACCTGTTAATTACTTCTGGATCCATAGGACAAACTGGTTAATTCCTTCTGGATCCATAGTACATTTTAAAGGGCCCACTGCCCATGCAGATGTCTAGGGCATTCATCTGCAATTTCACAAGGAAGTGCCCTGATTATGGCTGATGTTAATATTCTGCATCTTCAGATCACATCACCTGCTCCAAAGGGAAGACTAGAGCTCGTTTTTAACTAACTATCTGTGTTAGGGCTACAATTACAAGCCAAGGACATATGAATGCCAAGAAGACCATAAACTCACCAAACATCTCTCTTAGAGCCTGGAAACTGAAGACACCAAAAGCCTTTGGAACTTCAACACCATCCCTGGTGAGATCTCAAAATGGTGCGTCAGACCGCAAGCTGCTTATTTTGTTTCACAAAACCAATTCTGCCAATGGTTGTACAACTTCCCTGTTTCTGCAGACACAGTTCTTTTTCTTGGAAATGCTAGGCTCCACAAATTTATTATTTGGAGCTTCAGACATTATTTTGAAGGTTCATTGTGGAGGCTGAATGCTATGTGCAAAATAGCATACTTACATAGTGAGAGGTCCTTCAGTTCTGGAAGACTAGCAGAGGCACACAGCTGATAGAAAATGTGATAGTTTCGTTCATCAGTGGCCTGAGAAAGAACATTAATTTATTTGCGGAGAAATGAGGTGCAAATTAATTAAATAATCATTCAGCATGTCCTTTTGCTGTTCTCTAAATCAGGGGTCCCCAATCTGTGGGCTGCGGCCTATTTGCAACTGGGCAATGTGAGCGGCTGGATGCAGGGGTGGGCTGCTGCGGGTTTGGACGATTCTCTAGCTAAGATTCTGCGCAGTTTGGTGAAATCGCAAATCCCACCCCTGGCTGCCCCCCCACCTGGCCCTGCCCCTTTAACCCAACCCTGCCCTTCCCGGGAGTCTCCACGCAGTCCATTTTGGATGCCAGGTAAGTGCAGGGCCCACGCGGAGGCTCAAGGAGGGTGAAAAACGGGCCTCCGGGAGGCTCTGAAAGGCCGGAAACGGGCCCATTTCCGGCCTCCAGAGGGCCTCCGGAGACCAGGGGAGGCCGTTTTCACCCTCCCAGAAGTTCAAGGAAAGCCTCCGGAGCCTTGGGAGCGTGAAAAATGGGCCTCCCGAAAGTTCCGGAAGGCTGGAAACAGGCCCATTTCTGGCCTCCGGAGGTCAGGGAGGCCGTTTTTGCCCTTCTGGAGGCTCAAGGAAAGCCTCTGGAGCCCAGGGAGGGTGAAAATGCCCCCCCCCCCGTGATGCAGGATGCTGACTAGGCCACGCTTACCATGGCCATGAGAACCGGTTGCTGAAATTTTTGAAGCTCACCCCTGGCTGGCTGGTTCACTTGCATGCGCATGCACAGCTCTACTTGCGTGAACATCACAGGGGTTCGCGGACCCACTTACACAAGTATCATAGGCACTCGGGGCCCCACTGACACAGGTGCTCTTGACCCACTTGTGTGAGTACATGCACCTGCCCTTCCCACAAAACCATCCCCTCTTTCCCCCGTTCCCCCTAGGCCACCAACCCCCCAAAAGTTGGGGAACTGTGCCCTAGATTTATTCAAACTCAAATTTCACATGCATTTCTTCAAGGTAAAAATGGATTTTTTTTAAAAAAAAATTTTTTTTATCTACAATTAGTTTTAATTTAATTACACTAGGAGACTAATATTAAATGGAGGACAAACAAACTGGAATTTTTCTGATTACTGTTATGAAAGAATGAGAAAGTCCAAAACCACCATCCTTAAAATGCATGAGGGATTATCTTTATTTTATAGTAAAGGAATTGAAGGTGGAAAGGAGCCTCTTTCAAATGAAGCTTTTACAGATTGTATACCAAATATAGGCTACAGTCCTGGGATTTTCTAGAGGTTTCCTATCCATCAGCCAGCTAGAACGGATCCTGCTTAAGTTTCTGACTCAATGTGTCTCTTCTAATTAGGATCTAAATGGAGGTGTTATGTATGTAACCTTAATCTCAAAGGACAAAGGAGAGATTATAGAGGAATGAAAATACAACACAATGCTCAAACATTGGTCCATAGTTACAAATTACAAGTAGTCCTTGACTTACAACCACAATTGAGCCCCAAATTTTCCTTGCTAAGCAAGACAGTTGTTAAGCAAGTTTTGGGCCATTTTACTACCTTTCTTGCCACAACGGTGCTTTTCAAAAACTGGACTTTCTTGTGTTTTTTTTTTCTTAAAATATTTCACTTCTCATCCAAGAAGCTTCTTCAGTTCTGACTGAAGAACTGGCATTCTTCAGAACCAAAGAAGCTTCTTGGATGAGAAGCGAAATGTTTTCAAGGAAGAAAACATTAAGTCCAGCTGCACGGATGGGACCCTGCTGGTATAACAACCGTTTTGGTGAGCATGTGCTCACTGAACCAGTTGTTGGTGTCCAAATTTGTTGTCCAAATTTTGTTCAGGTGACCATGGAGATGCTGCAACACTTGTTAAGTGCAAAAAATGGTCATTGTTTTCAGTGCTGTTGTGTAACTTCAAACGGTCATGAAATGAATGGTTGTTAAGTCGAGGACTATGTATACTCAGCTGACTCAGATTTAAGTTTTAGTTATAGCTGATTGTGAAGCTACTCAAATCCTGCCAAGATTTTCATTCCTAAGGTGGATCTTGTAGATTCTAAATCACGGTTCTCAATGTCCATCATCATCTTTTAATGACACCATAATCCCTTGCAGGGTGGAGTCTGGGCAACTGAATGGAGCTGAGTGTTTACTGGCCGTATTCCCTTCCTGTCACCAATGCGGAGTTTTTTTCAGCAGATATGTTCTCAGTGTGCCCAGAGAAATATCTGCCTCTACCTAGGATCGAACTCACAGCCTTCTGATTGTGAGGCAAAAGCTCCACCTCTAGACCATTGCACTACTCCTGAATGTCGATGTACCTTAATGAATCATAGGCTAGTAAGTTTCCTTTCAATTGGAATGAGTACATCTGCCAAATCATTCGAAGTAGAGAAGATTCAAATAAAACTAGACGCCTTCTCAGCATCTTGCTGACTTTTTCCATGTGAAACCACTCCTTGGAGAGTTATTCATTTGAAACATCTTTAAACAAGGGCTCCTGCATATCCTATCTCAGATAGCTAAGGACTGTTGAGATGCCTTATTCATATTTCAGGTCACTTATATTTCAGAGGGCTAGCAAAACAAACTAAAAGCAAAGCAAAACGAAAGGAGAAATGTTTCCCCTTTTGCATTCGAGCATGCAAGAAGGGACAGGAAAGGAGAAAGGGAAAGAGGAAAGACAAAGAAAAAGAAGGAAAGAGGGGAAGGAGAATGAAGAGGGAAGGAAAAAGAAGGAAGGAAGGAAGGAAGGAAGGAAGGAAGGAAGGAAGGAAGGAAGGAAGGAA